CTGCTGAAAGATAACTAGCTTTTTAGCTTTAGGTGATCTTTCCTAAACAGCCTAAGCCTGTCAGTGATTTAATGATTAACTAGAAAATAGCGGTGCAGGTGAAGTACAGTATACGTCATGCCTGCTTTTGAAAAGCCATTTTTAACCAGCACAGTCTACTTAAATTCCAAATAACAAGTGTTCAAGGGCCCTGTTTTGCTATTTTTCCAACAAGAACATGAAAGAAGCACGATGTTTATCTAAAATAACAACTTTAAGTTAGCAAAATTATAGTGATACCTTTACAACTTTTTCTGCTTTACAACTTTTGTTCATTTTAAGAGACAGAAGTAATTACTTATTGAGAAACCAATAACTCGGGCTGTTGATTTTAGTTATGTGGTTGCTGTTAGTAATCTTCTTTGCTCAGGGAAATATGAAACAAATTTTACAGCTAGCCATTTTGTAAAGAGACACTCATTCTTGTTGATTTTTTTTTCATCTTAACTTGTTCCAACTTCTCCCTCGGTGTTTCAGTTAGCACAGTTGCCACCTTTCAGGCAATTGTCTTGCCTAAATTAGGATGTGTTTAAAAAAAAAAAAAACAAACCAAAAAAAACCAAAACAAAAAATCAAAACAAACCAACCAGCAACAAACAACATTAAACATTTTGATTGGCTCATTTTTAAACATCACTTATCACTTTCATGATCAGGATTTAAGACTCCTAAAACTGTGCAATCGTTGTTTCTTCACTGCACATATTGCCCAGGTAGTAGCTTTCATTTGATAGAATTATGGATCATTTAATTCAACAGAACATTATTATCAACTTGGGCGGAATAATGTGGAAAAGTTCCTGAGAAACCGCTACTGTATTTTCTTTTTGATCAGGGACTTTCTTTGATGACAACTGAAGAATCAAGGTAGGAAAACAGAAAACATAATTTAATAATAATGTGGGTGTAGAGATAAGCTTCCGTGACTAGAAAATGTTTTGTGACTTTGGCTGAATAGCTAAAAAGGTCCTTGGTCATGGCTGTCTGAAGACAATATGACTAAAACAAACTTATTCTGGATTATTCAGAATGAACCAAGGTAGTGTCACTTTTTCTTTTTGTAGCATTTACTTATTCCTTTCTTGAATTCAATTTCTGGTATATTTAGAGAAATACAAATATCCTAAGTTTTTCTATATTGATCACGTTAATGGGTCAAGTAACCGAGATGAAATTGTGTAAATTTGTACCTCAGTGTTTCCAGACGTATTCAGCATTGATTTCTTCTTTTCTTTCATGTTGAGTTCAATAGAATGGTTTAGCACGATACTTACACAGATCTCTTGCATTTAAAGCGGTGTTATCTAGGAATAACAAGTAATCTTCAGAACCTGAGGGATGGAGCAGGACTGAGTCATCTGAATTGAAGGATATTCAAACAATATGATTTAAGAAGTGTTTCCAGGTTGGACCTTTCCAAAGCAATTTAATTTTTACAGTTGCTTTGATACACACAACATGTTAAATATTTCAGTTCAAGCAGATACATTGTTAGATAATGCAGGAAGAATGCCTAATCCATAAATACACCATATGTAGTTCTGTATGTTCTCTCTAGATAATTCTGTATAGTCTCTATACATAAATTATATAGAATATGTAACAAAAATGTAATGGAGAGTTTTGGGGGTTTTTCTTGTGTGTGTTTTCATACTGATAAGCACCATCTGTCCACACATGCCCCATAAGCAGAATTACCAAGTGGATGTGTGCAGAATTCCACAGAATTTGTAATCATGTGAGTGTTAACACAAAAGTTAGTTGTGCAGTAGTTGCTTTAAGGAAAAGATATTTGGTTGATCTATTACAATGCTAATTAGGACAAATGAAGGGAAGAAGTTTTCTGAAGAGTAGGGCAGATGGTCTAGACCTTTTATACTAGTCTGATTGCAGTCTGCATGTGAGCATAAAAGAAAAAAAAAAAGCAGAGAATGAATATAGCTTACAAAGAATTGGTAACAGCTGCTTTGTTAAGCTGAATACCTGATTTTCTGTCAGTAGATGCTTTCTGGAGCCTTTTTCCTCAATTACAAAGGCTGACAGAATATGGAATATTGGGATTTTGGAAAGCTGACTGTTAATTCGTTAACCTCCTGGCTTCTAAATAAGATACACTGTGGTGAAAAATCTAAGACACTTATCCTTCTAACTCATTTGACATATGCCCAAGAAACTGTTCGATCTGCTGAAGGCATGCATGTAATTAGAAGAAGGCTTACATATAATATTTTGCCAGGATATGTAGCTGAGCTTTTATGAGAGCATTTGAGTGAATTTATATATAGAATGTTTTTAAACCCAAATAAGCCAAACCGCTTCACAAACTGCATTGCTTCAATATCCCGTGAAAATACAGCCATTTCCTGAAGTGTGTGTAGCCACCGTGAGAGCTGAAGTTGTTTATTTCTTTGAGATTAAATTTGGCTACGATCCGTTCCAACGCTTCACTGGAGAGCCTTCACAGCCAGCATGACTCTGAACTGCCTGGCACTCGCCTTGCTTTTCTCGGCCCAAGTATTAACACTTGGATGGTGGACCAGCCTCTGCCTTTCAGTTATGAATTAAGAATGAGAGAAGATCAGGTATCTGATAGTTAGGCTCACTACTGGTTAGGCTGAACCACAGCTGAAGGAGGGGAGCCCCAGCCTTTGGTGAAGTCAGAGGTATTGAGGCTGCACACTAGACTGCTGGTGAGAACTACACCTTCTGATCTGTGCCTTTCCAACACAGCATCACTCATCAGATGTTAGTCATCTGTGATTTAAAAAAAAATATAAAAATATGTCAATAAAATGGAGAAAGCAAAAGTGGAAATCTGTAACCTGCCCAATCCTAATGTAAAGATGAGCTGCTGGTGATATGGGACAACCACCTGTTTGGGTGTGTCTTGGGTGGATTTTGTCAGCAGGATGTACAAAACTTCCAGGTGCTGACACAGGGCCACCTTTGGAAGGAAGGAGACTGTAGGGTTAATGAGTTATAAAAACACAAATGGCTATTCAAACAAGGCTAACGGTCTTATGAGGTCACACGACGCATTTGATGATGAAGAGGTATTCGTCTGCATACAGTCAGATGCTCTGGCTGTTGGGAGCTACATTCACTGTCATGTGCTATGGTGGTTGCACTTTTCTCAAGTAATTGTGTGTTGATGGAATAATATAGTTCAGCTAGCCTGTGAAATATTTGAAACTTGTCCTACTGTAAGCCAACCAGAAGATTGTCTGAATTTTGTTGTTGTTGTCACTGGCTAATTATTAGAGCAGAAATTAGTTTCTTCTGTCTTGCTGTAGTTTATTTGGAGGAGGGCCTCCTAAGTCTTGTGTAATTCTCTTGGCTGAAGTTTGGTCTTCGGTTCCTATTCCACAAGAAAGAGTATAAGCTTAGGTGATAACAGTGGGCAACACAGGCACAATGTGCTGCCTGTAGCTAGTGAAAATACTCTTGCACTCCTTCTTGCTCCTCTATTCATGGGGTAAACTCCAGGGCAGATGCTGCCTCTCAGGCTGAGCCCTGATGTGCTGGAAAGCTGGTGGAGATGGGGGCTGCAGCCCAGAGCAGGGGCATCTGCTCCCCAGCTGCTCCTCCACAGCGAGGCTGGAGGGGGGTTTGCAGCACAAAGGAGGCTGTGCTGAGCATCACCTCTAAGCTTCCAGATTGCTAAGACTAAATGGGCTCAGTTTCAGCAGAAACGGAAATCTGAGGAAAGGTGCAGTAGAACACATGTCAGATATTATGGTAGCCACGCAGGGGAGGTATTCAGCAACATGGAATGAGGCACTGAATGTCTCTGTCTTCATGTCGTTAAATCGACGTAGTTTAAGAGAAACTGTATACTGGGTACTGTGGGTTTGCTATGTGGAAAAATGTTGTGGAGCCCTTGTGTGCCCCTGGGAAAGGAAGGAAAAACTTTTTTTTTGTACAAAAGCAGTGAGTGACACTGATAGATGTCCAGAAGTTCTCTTGCTGCATCCCTCTCCCCTCTCCTAGTGTGCTGAGGACCACAGCCTTTCAGTGCGGTACAGGCTGAACAACCTTTATATTGCCACCTCCACAGTAAATATGATGTAGAGTCTGAGTGTTGCTATGTGTTACAAGTCAGTCCTCTTCTGTTGTCTGCCCGGATTCCTGCCCTTACTGGTAAGGCTTAGAAATGTGCCCATCAGTGAACAAAAGCAATCTTCTTGTCAAACGACTCCGTTGGTGCAGTGATGCTTTCCAAAGTGCTGCTTTTCCATCACTTTAAATGTCTGATGATGGAGGTTCTGTCAGTCCATTGGGAGTCATTTCATGCTCTGATGCACCTGAGGACCACAAAGTGCTACATGAGTATTCAGCTTAAATTTTCTTTTTATTTGGCTTCCCCCGTTCATTTACCCATCTTTCCTGGGTTCTTTTCAAAACTTCACCCATACAACGATTCTCACCAAACCTTAATTTTGTGTGGTACTGTAAATTGGTTGACATCTTTCAAGCACATTGCCTCCCTGACCTGAGTTTTCTTTGCAGCTCATAGACTGCAGCATTAAGAAGTGTACTGGGCTTATAGCTTGCTCAAAGAACTTATTTGAGAAATATGTACTGATTTGATACATTGTGTTAAGGTTTGTGCGTACCATTTATCATCTTTTAATTTGCTGATGATGATGTAAAGCAATGAAGTGAAAACAACAGGGGATTATATTATTATTAAAGTGTTTTGCTCCAACAATCTTTCCTTGACCTGTGAGATTTTGTTTGTTTAGATCTGCTAGAGAAGTCTCGTGTGGTTAAGCAGCCAAGAGGTGAAAGAAACTTTCACATTTTCTATCAGATACTGTCTGGTGCATCGGAAGACTTCCTCTGTAAGTGTTGCTGTTTTGCCATTTTCAGTCATGAGTCTTCTTTATATTTAATGTGCTGTTCCATGCACATCTTCTTTTGTGGGAAATGCGATATTGATTTGTTTTTCAAATTATTGGTGGTAGTGGCAATAATAACACCTGAGGTAAATCCATGGTTAGGTATTATCCAGATATCTTGAGTCAGAATTGGCCTTTCAATGTATTATAAACAAAGAAGAAGGTCTGTTCTTATTCAGAAGGCTTATAGTTAAAAGACTATTAAAGAAAACTTAATCCTACTACTGACGACAGTTCTTGACCATAGCGGTTCTGGGATAAATGAGCTGCTAACAAGAATGCTGTTACTAATGATATTTTTATTTGATTTATTAGGCAAACTCAAACTGGAGCGGGATTTCAGCAGATACAACTACCTGGGCCTTGATTCTGCCAAAGTGAATGGAGTGGATGACGCTGCAAACTTCAGAACAGTTAGGGTAAGGAGCAACAGGCATTGGGTGTAAACCCCAAAAGAGCTCAACACTAATGCAGGGTTCATATGCCCTCAGTCTGGCTGTTTGGTTTGGGCAAGGATATAGCATGTTTGCACAGAGAAGCTTAACTACAACTGGAAAATACAAAGAACCAAGTTTCTGGACTATTCTAGTGGGAGTACAAAAAAAGACAAGAAAAAAAAGAAAAAAGGGAGGGGAAAAAAAAAGCCCACACCCATTGATTAGATCATGGAGATGGTTATATTGTTGTAGTTGCTGATGATGGCAGTGACTGAGCTTCATGAACCAGCTGATGTTGACCAAGTTCAAAGAAAAACAGGGCTGGGATAGTTCTCAAGATGATTAACCATGAAGTTTTTGCTTGTACTCAGGGCCAAGAAAAATACAGGACCCTGTTAACCAGTGTATGCAAGTTTAGATTCTAGAAGTTACTGGCTTTTAGGGCAATAGAGTGCATTTTAGAAACCCATAAACTGAATGAATCCTAGAAGTATGCTGGCCTGACATGCCAGCTCGATTACCAGATCTTCTGTAACCTGTCTTTTATATTGAAAAACTTACTTATCGAAGCATAGTAATTACGTCATGTTCTTTTTGTAGCAAAAGTGTTCATAAAACATTTCTAATTTATGCAAATACAGATAAATGGTGAATTTTGCAAGTATGATCTGTTTAAATGTAGATTCTTTTATCTCATAATTTTATCTGTCCCCTTTACAGAATGCAATGCAGATTGTTGGTTTTATGGATCATGAAACACAGTCTATTTTTGAAGTGGTGGCAGCCGTTCTGAAATTGGGCAATATTGAATTTAAGCCTGAATCTCGTGTGAACGGCTTAGATGAAAGTAAAATCAAAGATAAAAACGGTAAGATGAGATTAGTGATGAGAAGAAAAGCACCAATTTGTCTGAAGTCATTATTAATTTTGTCGTCTCTGTAGACATAAATATCCTTACAGATGAATTAAATTAGATTGTTTCCAGAACTCACCCACAGGCAAATATGGGTTGAATTCTGTGCAATTTCAATCAGTCTGTTTGAAATTCCAAAAATTATTATTTTTTTTTCCCCCACATTATTAGCACTTTCTTCTGAAATGTTAAGTGGTACTATGCATTTCTGCTTGGTTATTCTGCAGTGGGGGCTTTTTGTTCTTTTATAGCAGAGTATTTCTGTCTGTAATGTCAGATTCATTTGGATGTGTTTTGCAGTTGACACACTTTGAAAGTTCATTTATTTTCATCTGAAGGTTTTTCATCATGAAAAGTAGTCTGTGACAAATGGAAGAAAAATTTTTCAAAAAAACCAAAACAAATAGAAAGTGCTTTCAAAACTAATAACTCAGTGGATCCTGTTTCCTCATGCTGTGAATTATTTTAAAAAACCCCTTTGCTTGTCAGGGTAGGGGGGCAGTGTGCATGGGGGATGTTTCTGTTGAAGAAAACCTCCTTGGGGAACATAGTGAACTACTTAAAAGCTAATAGTTTGGGGGAAGAAGAAGCAGCAATACAAAAGTATTTATTATATTTACACTTTCCTTTTTCATGCTAGAACTCAAGGAAATCTGTGAGCTGACAGGTATAGACCAGTCCGTATTGGAAAGAGCTTTCAGCTTCCGGACGGTTGAAGCCAAGCAGGAGAAAGTTTCAACAACACTAAATGTGGCTCAGGTAAAAAGTGGTCCTGGTTTTAAAGGAAAGTATAATTTTGAGTGGCAGTTTATTCTATGTGACTAAACCATACCTACGCAAATAAAAACTACAGCTAATAGGCTGTACTGCATAAAATGCATCACTAGCGTTAAGTGTGTTTCTCTTCAGCAGTTTCTAAGCGTTCAAATACACCGGATATTTTATTTTCATGTATGAATTATTTCAAAAAGATGAGTGATAGGAAAATGTTGCAGAGGATCAAAAAAGTTCTGTACAAAATGCATGTTGAAAGTATTGTGGCAGACTGGTTTTGTTTAGAGCAACTGGTGTAATTTCATGTGAGTTCTATGCCCCAGGCTGCTGCAAAACTTTTGCTGCCAATGTGAGTTTATCCTGCTATAATGCTGCAGAGCCAGTGGGATTGCCACCTGTGTCTCATCAGCTCAGG